GGGGGGGGGGGGAGCCAGATGAGGGATTAACTGAGGCTGTGGTAATGGAGCTGCAGAGTGGGCACCGTGCCATGTGGTGGTGTTGATGCTGGGCGGAGGATATGAAGACCTGCCATTCACTCTTTGCAGGATTAGGGCTGTAAGTGCAGTGGGTCAGTGTGGCTAATGGAGCTCATATGTTAGGGACACAGGGCCTTGTAGTGAGAGTGATGGGGGGGGTGTGTGGGTGTAGTGAGGAAGGATGTAGAGGGAGGGGTTTAGAGGGCCAGAGTTCATATGGGCTTCAGGGAATTAGATTAAACAAAGAGCAGTTTAATTTCTCGTCTTTCACACAGCGATCTGCTTATCTGACTCAAACAGCCGCTATCGCATTGTGTGTGTGTGTGTGTGTGTGTGTGTGTGTGTGTGTGTGTGTGTGTGTGTGTGTGTGTGTGTGTGTGTGTGACAAAAGACATTACACAATGGTTATTACTCAAACTTGGTTGATTAGTTGAACCTCAAAGTGTATAATCAATGTATCATTTAAAGTTGTTTCTTTGAATGAAATGTGGCCCAAAACTCTCAATCTCAAACGTTTATACTGGATTTCTTTGATTTCAATGTTAGTAGGGCAACAGGTGTACTGCACTAACTGCAATTTATGAATTCTTCTTGTTTTCCAGGGAGCGAAGCCGGGACAGAGATCGCCACAAGTCCCGCAACAAAGACAGCCGCTCAGAAAAGTCTGTAACGATAAACTCGCCGCCCGCTGAGCCACTGCTGGGCGACTCGTCTGTCCGGGGGGGGGAGCAGGTCCAGGTAGGGCTGAGCACCACTGCACCGTCACACACCTTTACACTCACCATTTAGGAACCAAGTTGCTTTAGATAGGATGCCTCTGCTAGTGATTTACAAGGGATTTAGAGGAAAGGCGATTGGAAGTTGGAAGCATAATTCTGTTCATCAGTCTGGGCTGTTACGGGCCATCTGCTAGTAGAGGGCAAAAGCCAGAATGACCGGTCCACTTTTGGAAAACTGTGGACTTCCAGGAAATCTATCCCGGATGAAAAAGGATACGGATGCACAGTTGCTTCTTTACTCATCACACTTTAATTGCGTCCTCTTTTGTTAGTGGCAAACTGTTTATTTTCCTGCTTGGTGGGGGCCCGTTATGGTGGCCCCTGCCAAAATGGACCGGACCAAGAAATAACAGCAGCTAAGCTGTTTCTGACTGTCAGTCAAATTTAAAGTCTACCCTCAGAAAGCATGCTGACTCTGATGCTCTACAAATGGATTATGTGATGGATTATTTGATAATGGAGAAATATATGGTAGGACATTTCCTATTAAAACATTTTACTTAACTCTAGTATTTTGTTCACATTTTGCACCCAGTGGTTCTGTTTGTCTAAAAAGACAAATATAAAAATGCGTGATTGAGTGAGAGAGTGAGTTTCTTGTTGTGTTTCTGTGCGTCTGTGTGCCTCACTACTGTATCCAGGTCAGATTGACCCGAACATCTTAAGAAGGAGGTAAATGTGTAGGGCATTTTAGTACTTTACAGAATAATCTAAGGCCATGAGGTTTCAGGTAGGCTGCATCGTCAGGATGGGTCGTTTGGCCATTTGTGCAAACGCGTTTGTTTATTTTGCCAAAATGGAGTCTGTTGAATCATTTTATTTTTATATAACCGCTCTGGGATTTTGTTACTTGGAGTCAGATAAAAGGCAAACTGAAGGCATGTTGATCAGATAGCACTGTGTTAGCTGAGCAGGTTGGCATGTCGAGACGTGAACTTCCTGGTAGCACTCGAGGGATACAAGAGTTCTTGGCCAAAACAGCCGTGGTGAAATAAAATGAGTAATTGCCAATTTGTAGTGGTATTGTTCGGGTAAACCTTATCTATCTGTGTTTTGACGAGTTGTGCAAAGTACTAGTCTTTTCTTCCCAAATATCAGCTGAATAGCGAAATAAGAGAGTTCAAAATAAAGTTTTTCTAGAGCTATCAAAATAAGACACAGTATTTCTTACATCAGTAAATCAATATAAATGAGGATAATATTAAATCCATGTTGAGGTCCATTCAGCTTTATTTGTTGACCAAGGTTATAAATCAATACATTGTTTCCTGCTTGTGTGAAATGTTATAAATGGAAACAGCATTTGAGTAATGTTGTGGTGAGCTGCAGGGTTATTTCTGAGTCAGGGGTTTGGTCTAATTGCTGGGGTCTGCAACTGTAAACACTTGTAGGTGCTTATTGCATGGTGATACTACAGGTGCTCAACGCCGTCTGTGCTAGTTCCCATGTTTATTGCCTCGGTTTACAGCCCTGTGCAGATGCTGTCAGACAAACGAGAGGAGGAGAGCTTCATGGCATTTTGATGAGCAGTCATGTAAAACAGTTTAAATGTTTGCCTTGCTTTGTGCATTGAAAGCAGGACTTCTAACACTTGCTGCTGGCAGGAGTTAAATGCATAATAATAAAAGCGATTTTAGCACACTTGGCTAACCCGAGAATGACCCAAAACAACTTCAAGTCAAGTGTTGGGCTTAACCAGCTAAAGGGAAAACATGCACCCAGACTTTCCCCATCCTTCACTGACCTACTTGGCGTTCACTTTCCCTTGTGGCAACCCTCGTTAGCATCGCCTGTGTATGTGTGACTGTTTTTTTGTGTTTAATTTGAACACATGACAGGATTTGCCACAGAGCACAGCCCTCTTCAGTATTTAGCTGTTCATGTCTTATTCATGCCGTGGCCTGCAGTGGTGCCTCTGACAGGGCGGGGGTGTTGGCTTTAGTTTTAGTAATCAGGCCCACCAATTCTACTGAGAGAGGCTCAGCACAAATCCCCGTGTGTCTGCGTGTGTGCTAAGGCCTCGCGTACGCTCTCCGTCTGTGAATATTTTCTGTGTGAGTCCCAGAGTCTAACTGTGCAGCGCTCATTACTCCTCTGCAGGGACTTAATCAGAGCGCTGGCTGACAGAGCAGCACATCGCTCCGGGCAGGGATGTCCTCACAATCCGGCAAAAAAAAAAAGTTTCTCATGACTGTGATGTGTCTGTGATGCTTCACCACAGGAAATGATAAAAGACGAGCGCTCGTGTTACATGGGAAATGTGTCGAAAAACACGAACAGAGATTTCGAGATTAACACCAAACCGAATACATGTTTAGAGACGGCTGTCGAGGGATGGTGTTTGTATGTGTACTTTTTTATCAAATCACATTCATAGAAATTGCTCAGGATCTTGGGAAATGATATTTATTCTCTTGCCTCATGTCTGTACACTGCTTATGAAGCTGGAGCCAACAATTTAGCTAAGCCTGAAGGACTGAAATCAGGGGGAAACAAATAACAGAGTCCAGCTGCAGGCACCTCTTTAAGCTATTTATCTTTGTTTAATCTGTAAAATAAAAAAAGGGCTTCATTTTACAGGGGGCTATTTGCAACACTTAGATACGGCCAGTTATCAAGGAGCCAGCAGAGATTCGAAGAAGCTACATGACTTTTACACCTAATTATTTTAAATAAAGCTAGCTGTTCCCTTCCGTTTCCTGTCTTTATGCTAAGCTAGGCTCCATCTCCAACCCTCAGCAAGAAAGCAGATGAGGGTATCTCTTAGTGTTGAAGACTTTTTAACTTGGCTATAAACTACAAAGCTTTTTGGGGCCAACTTTGTACTTGAAATGGGATTTCAACACTGCTTGTAAATTCAGCTGATCATACTGTTCTTCGATTGCTTGATATATTTGAACAGAACCCTTCTAGCAGGTTGCTACAATTTCAGGAGGGAGGCCAAAGCTCCAGGTTGTCTGTGTGAATGTGAGAAATACTCTTTAATTGCTCCTTCGGCAGGAACACCTTCAGGTTGGAACCAGTGCTGTCAGTTAATGTCTCTGGCATGTCCATGTCTACTGTATTTTGCTAGCTGGGTGATGGTAAAGACCAATGGAGACGAATATAGCCTGTACTGAGGTATGGAACTTCTATAAGTGAACAGACAATGGCAATAATTGGCTGAATGTACCCTGCTGTTATTGTTGTATGGAACTGAATAGTGAGAGGTGTAGTGGAGTAGCTCAGGTCAATGTAGCATGGCATGTCGAACAGGGGGAATGTGATATGTTTAAACCATGAAGCATTCTTTGAGAATTAGCGCCTTCATATACCAACAAGTGGAGCGAAAGTAGAGCCAGGTTTATTTTTAGATATTCATACGCACTTTGAAGATGGAAGAGGCCTGCTGCCTGAGAAGTAAATACTGAAATCTCAAAATGAAGTAACATGGACCTGGTTCGTCTGGTGCCAAACCGTTGTAGCTTATTTCCAAATGTAAGACTTTTAAAGAGGACATATTGTGCTCATTTTCAGGTTCATATGTATTTTGTGTCTCTACTCAACATGTCTCCATGCTGTAATGTTCAAAAAGCTCGTTATTTTTCTCATACTACCTTTCCAATCCTCTTCCACGTCCTCCCTCGGCTCCCCTCACTCACACCTTTTTAAACCTCCCATTGTTTCACCTTGCTCGTCCTCCCTTCAGCTCAATTCATTAAACCCAATTAAAGCTGCTTTGTACTCTCAGCTGCTAGCGCTCTCAAGCCGGATCCTCTGTATGGTAGCAGTAGCACTCATGGCAGACCCCAGCACTGGTAGTTTGGCCCATATCTCCACAGCCATGTCTTGGAAGGCGCTGAGCTCTCGTGTTTAGCACCTCTTCCCTGGGGTGAGTGTGTTCGTGTGTGTGTGTGTGTGTGTGTGTGTGTGTGTGTGTGTGTGTGTGTGTGTGTGTGTGTGTGTGTGTGTGTGTGCGCTTGTTGGGAGATGCGTGCCACTTGTAACCCTTCCCAAGCTTTTATTCCTTTATTAGTGACTCGTGCATATTAGCAAGACATGCAACAAACTGCCGTACACGGTGGACGTTCATGACTTTAACCCTTAGGCCTTTTGGAGGAGATTGACAGCACTCAGTGATTCACTTGTGATTAACTGTTGCTTTTAGACTCTAGGTTAGGTCAGCACAATCAAAGAATATTTCAACTGGTTTCTGGATATACTAAAGTATAGTATTTGAAGGCATTTTACTATTTAAAGCTGTGACAATCCTCGTCACTGTTCACTAAATATGCGCTTCGTTTTTGAACATCTTCAACTGCTGTGATTACTGCTAGCACAGCCAAGAACATGCTAGCACTAGCCACTCACAATATATCTCACATAAGGAAAAGCTCTCAGTGCTAACTGCCCTGAGCTAACCTCTCTGTAGCATGTTAGCTTTGTTGCTAATAGGAAAATATGTTCACTCAGTTAATTCAAACACAGACATATTTCGAGCCTCTGGTAACCATTCCTCTTTGGAAACTGACAGACAAGGTTACATGATAGATTGCTATTGGCCCAAAGCATGGACATGCTACTCTATTAGAAATTGATGAATTTACCCCAATTTTGATGAGTTTTAAATCCTGATTTAAGGGTCTTACATATTGTTTTCTCATTGTAAACAAATCCCATGAAAAGACCTAAGTCAACAATGTCTATCTCTCAATATCTTCAAACATTTATATATTTAAGATAGATAGATACTTTTCAGAAACAACTAGGCACCATTGTTTTAAGCATGCATTTATTGCATTGGTTTGGGGATAGTTTAAGCTGTGGATTAATCCACATGTGGAGCTCTTGGGATTATTAATGAGAGCAGAACGGTGGTGTGTCGGATTGAATTGAAAATAAACAGTGTGTGTGTTCATGGTAATGAAAGAAATGGAACCCAGAGCAACAGTCTGGGTCACTGATGTGTTTTTGGACCAC